GGGGAGACAGAGGCATTGCTAAAGGAGAAAAAGAGATTGGAGAAAAGTCCAAGGACCATGTTGAAACTAGCGCATGGAAGGTTGTGCTTGGAGGAATAATAGGTTGGATTGGATGGATGGAGTATACTCTGTATCAAACAGGCCTCTTTAGCTTGAATTAGCTTCAATTGATCAGCTTTATTTTTAAGTTATTAATTTGTGTGAAGAATAGAAGGGAAGAATGTATTATGCGGAGGCGGTGTGAACAATAATGCATGACAAAGACAAATATTACATTAACATTCTCTCTCTATCTATCTACCAATCAATATGAGGGAGGATGTATGTTTTGTTTTGGAGTGTATGGAATGGAATGGCATGCAGAAAAGAAAGCTGGAGCTGGATTGGCTGCTTCTTTCTTTGCAGCAAAAGAGTCCCTTCTATTATTAATTTTCAAATGTCGGAGCTTCAAGGATAAGAAAAGAAAAGAAAAACTTTTAACTAGACCAGGCGTGTGATATTTACACTGCATATATTTGCATTGGGTATGGGACCTATGGGTATGGGCGTGTTTACGTGCTCATTGTGTCTCAGTAGACAGGTATGTCGTTTTGGAGTAAACAGAACTGAAGTTACACCGCATCGTCTACGGGATTTGAATAATCATTAGGCTTAATTATACTAGTGCCCCTCTCAAATCTCGTAGGAGCCATGTCAAACATTATGACACAGTTTTTGAGGGAATTGACGGTGGTGGAGGGCAAAGTGAGACCAACTACCCGTCAATGTGGCATGCCATGGTGGAACACCGTTACTTCATGGGGGCAGGCAATACAGCTTTATCGTTATTATGTACCGCATCTTTGATCTGTGGACTTGAGGGGTCAACCACAAAAAACAAAAAAGAGGACTTGAGAGGTCAACCATAGGTTACTACCAAACCGTGCAATGCAATCAGTCATTCTCCGCTCTGCATAAACCTACCAGTGCGCTACCCGGAAAGCTTTGACTTCACTATATCTAAGGTGAAGGTGAGATGCAATTTTTTTTAATTTGTTTGCATTGCTTTAGAGTTAGAGGTAGAGTAGATTTCCAAGTAGTTGTTGAATTTCCTGATTTGGTTTTTTTCTTTTATTCGATGTTAATCTCTCTATATTGATTGTTTCTTCGAAATTTTGCTTGAGTAGAATGCATGCAGTAATCCATAGCCCTGAACACTCTTAGCCTTCAAGGAAAACTTTCTGTATTCTATTCTTCTCCATCTTGGAGGAATTAATGTATGCAAGACTGAATATACAAACTAACTAGGAAGCATTCACAAGGATTCACTCAATATCTTCCAACAAGTAGAACATGACACTGAAAATTTTGATACAAAAACTAAGATGGGATCATAGGATCATGGGATCTTGTGGAGTTTCCATCAATGAGTGGGAGCTCAAGATTAGATGCAGAACCTGAGACAGCAGAGGGTGTCATACTATTATTAATACATCCAACATGAGAGCTGAATGTTCCATTCATGACAACGCCCGATACACACTTCACAACCAAATCAATTTCCCATGAAACCATCCCAATTAATAGACACACACCCCACTGTGCCCAATTCAACCTTGCATTGCCAACAAGAATATGTGAGATCTCAATAAAAGCCACCTGCAGGACGAGAGTGCCACCCACAGACCCCCAGAACCACTGATTGTGAAGTATGCCCCTGAACACGTTCTTCTTCTCTAGCTCCCTTGAATTGACTTGATTGAATACCTGACACAGAACAAAACTGTTGAAAACAATGGACTCGCTAACCTTCTTGCTGATGCCCGGGACGGTTTGCCCTTTCAGTTGAAAGCTGACCAAGATGGCAGTCTGATATAAGGCTTGACTGACAATGTTTCTCCACATTGCCTTGCTAATGAGCCAGTCAGTTCGTCTGGCCGGTGGCTTCTCCATTAGTTCCTTTGTCGGCAGCTCCATCAGTAGAGCAAGCCCACCTAGAAGAGTCACAACCATGTTTGCCCAGAATAACTGAATTGCTGTAATTGCACTATCTCCACAAGCCATTGTGGTAGTGGCTGTTATCAGCAGCCATGCTATATTCATGGTGAGCTCAAGTTGGATGTACTTTTGAATGTTGTAGTAAATGCATCTGCCGCACCTTATAATGGGGACCAAGAAACTAAAATTTCTATCCCAGATGATGATGTCAGAACTTTCTCTTGCCATTTCACTACTCCAAGTCCCCATTGCAACCCCCACATCAGCTTCTTTAAGAGTTGGAGTCTCATTTGTTCTGACTCCAACCATCGCCACAACGTGGTCTTTTTTTTTCAGGCATTGCACCAAAAGGAGCCTGTCTGAAGGAATGGAGTTTCCCATTACGCAGATTTTATCTACCATGTCCATCCTTTCTTCTGCACTACTATTTCGAAACCTTTCGCCTTCAAGCACCAACCTGTTAGTGTTGGCAAGTATTCCACATGCAACAGCAATGTCTTCCAGCTTTGACACCTTTTCTTCTGACACCAATATGATGTTCACTCCTGCTTCTTGACAAGCTGTCACTACTTCCATTATATCTACGCAACATGTATACTTCACACCTAGTAGTCCTATTAAGATTAAGCTGTTTTCTTCAAGCACTGCAACATCAGTCTGCTTGTAAGCAAATGCAATGGTCTTTAGATGTTTGGACTGCATGTGCTCTGCAATCTGGTTAAAAGCCAGTTTACGTTGTTCATCGATGACCTTTGTTGTCCCTCTGCTGTCAGTGTAGTGCGAGCACATGCCTAATATTGTTTTTGCAGGTCCTTTCCAATGCAAGCACATATCTCCTTCATTGTCACTGGATTTTTTCATCAGTACTCCACTGCCTTCCTCGTTGGTTCTCAACTCCTTGGAATCAAGGATGGTGTGGGTCTGCCTCAAAATCTCAATTTCCATCCCCAAATTGGCAGCCCATGGAAGGAGCGGGTCCTCTGATGAGCTGCAAGAGCTTGACTGCTTCAAAAGTGGTGTGCAGATTCCATTGCACAAAGCTTCACGAACACGTGTGTCTATTCTGGTGACACAGTCCTTTTCTATGACTTCGTTCCCAATATAGCACACGTCGACTTCCGGCGAGTTCAAAGTCAGCACACCAGTTTTGTCCGTGCAAATGGTTGTGACAGAGCCCATGTTGACACAAGCCAAAATTCCTTGAGCAGTGGCCTTGCCAGACAGTGTCTTCTTATTCCAATAGGTTATGGCAAGTGTAACAAAAAGAGGTATCCCTTCCACTACTCCTACAAGCAAGATGGCCAGAGCTGTTGTTAAGATGCTAATCTGTCCACTTGGTTTCATGACAATTTTCCCCATCACATTCATTATTTCCTTACTTGCAGCTGGTTTCCCCTTAAGCTCTGGCAGGCCAGAGTCGTAATCTTTCTTTTCAAGCGAGAAACGAAAGAACAACACTACAAGGAGGAGAATAGAGATTGAGAGCCCCGCAATTTGGGTGCGTGTGTTCATCTTGTCAAGTTGAGCTGGTAATTGGGCACGGTTAGGAGTATGTGCTACTCGGTTCATCAGCTCACCCAATGCCGTGTCTATGCCCACAGAGGTAACTAGCATGAGACCATTTCCACTAACCACCTTTGCACCATAGAACATAAATGGTTTCTTGTCATCGATGGTTGTCTCCATACCATCATCCAATACTAAGAACTCACCAGAAACAAACAAACCGTCAGCAGGAACCACAGATCCCCGTTTCAAACACACTAAGTCACCTGGCACAACATCAGATACAGAAAATTCACACGGACAACCCCCTCTGACGGCCTCAACTACATTTTTACTCATCCCTGCAGTCTGTATCACTGCATTATGGTTGTGTGAGTTTTCAAGCCAGAAGTCACGTATGGAAGGAGCAACCACAAGTATGAGGATGGCAAACATTATGATGGCCCCTTCATACCAACCGGTCCTTAGGCCTTCCACCTTGATGCCAAACACAATTGACAGCAAGCCAGACACAAAGAGAAGGACAATGGTGTAATTGTTGCACGATTGAAGGAGAAGTTTGAAGAAGCTTGGAGCAGGAGTCTGTGTAGTCGAGAGTGCATTGACTATGCGTCGACGAGAAATATCTTTTTGATCGCCTGGAATTCCTTTTCGTAAATCTGTGTTGAGTGCCTCTGCAATCCCTCGGGTGCCTCCAAACTTCTGCAAGGAAACAAAATCCTTGTCCTTCACTATCTTGGCAACATTTGCATGCTGGAGTTCAGCATCACTTGCAGTACTATCCCTGCTCAAATGGACATCTTCAGAAACTTGAGGTGGGGCAGGTGAAATTTCTGTAGTCCCTGTGAGTTCCAAGTCCTGCAAAAATCAGTTAGCAATAATTTAACGACAGTTACTTGAACTACAGCTCAATTTGGTACAAGAGTAAGAACCGAAACAAGTATTATATGTTGCCCGATTGTGAATCTCAGGTCGATTTTGGGGCTCAGAGCTAGCAACATATTACATCTGCCTGTCAGGCTCTAAAATAGCCCATAAATAACTGAGCATTCCAGTCACAGTTGTGGAGTAAAAGTCTTAATTAGACTCAAAACTGTCAAAGTAGTTTTTGCTAAGACAAAAGTAGACATCATCAATCTGAGGTTGAGCTTTTGTCTAAATGCAGAGCTTGCAACTCATAGGCCATCTTTTACAGTACACACAAAAAGATTGGCATATCTTGTAAAAGATATATTATGCAGCACCAATATATATATATATATATATATATACGCATAAGAGTTGTTTTCCATATATGTTATAACTTCTTCATGAAAGATCAAGGAAAAATTCATTCTTTTACTTTAGGGCTTCTAAGATATGGGTCCATTTTCATTTACATACAATGGATGCAGGACGCTAATTGGACTCTCTTCAATTGCAGTCCTCCCAATCAATTGTATGGCCAGGTAAGCAAACCTTGTAGCCACCATATTGGAGACATTTACAATATGTGACATTGGTTGAAAATGGCAAGTCCATGCAAATACCACTTTTAAATATCAGTTTTCTCCTACAATCAAGCTTATGACATTCAATTTAAATGATGATTTCATGGCTCACAGATTAAAAACCTATTTAATTCAAATTTCAGCTATATACATATGATATTTTTTAGAATTCTATATACGTAGCTTTATTATAATTAAATTGGTAGCATATACCTACCTTTTAGCTATAAATTTATATATTGAGTTTTTCAAAATTCTTTATGGAATTTTTTTGTCATAATGTTAATTTTTTAATATACATAGTATGGAGGTATAACTTCTTCTTTTTTAAACATATGTGTTTTACCTGGCATTGAGGTGCATCCAATATGTGTTTTACCTAGTACTGAGGAACATCCAATATGTGTTTTACCTAGTACTGAGGTGCATCAAATATGTTCTATACCTATTAGATAGGTATATCAAGTTCAATGGTTAGTAGGGTATTGTACCTGGAGAATAGGATTATCAAATTTAAGAATAATATTAATAGTTCATGAAGAAATAAACGAGTACAATGAAGGTCCGACATTTACATTCAAAATGTAATTATTCCTTTAATTACATTATCAAATCTAATCATTAATGGCTTATAAATCCTCATCTTACCCGTTTTAGACAATAGGGATATAATAGGAATAAAAAATTTAAATACAAATCAGTTAAATACAAAAGATTGAGTCAGCATGTCAAAAATGGAATGCAATCTACATGGCAAACTAGTCAAAGGACTTGTATCAACAAACAATAATTCGAGGGCTAGACCCAACTATTGGTTGGATTTTTGGACCTCTATCAACTTTTCTATTTACTTTAAAGATATGTATGATATTATATGGTAATATTGGTAGAAGAACAAAATTGAGATTTTACATAAGATTCTAAATTTCTTTATACTGTCATATATTTTCTTCAAATTAGCTAGCTCTATATAGTTAGCGGTGGGAAAGCTGTAGCAAGAATTAGGCTATATGTATGGTATACTCACTGGTGTATCTCCTGCAGCAACAGTGCTGATAACTGTGTAAGGAAGAGATTGTGGAGAAGCCTTGTTAGCTCGATTGGCTCTGGATGAGATGAGGAGTTTCCGGACTTGGAGGATCACAAAAATCCAGCGCCAGTGGTCGACTCGTGGCGGGTTAGTACCTGTTATGAGCAACATCGCCTGCTGAGACTCGAGGTCTAAATGGTGCCCAGAGCTTCTTGTTTCTGCCATACTTGTAGCTAGCTAGTGGCTTTGGTGCTTATCCAACCTTATTGCAAAGACGAAAATGAATGCAAAAAATAAATGGAAGAGATTGAGTTAAAACGAGATTCAACGGAAAAGGGAACAAAAATTAATGCAACAACGAAACAGATAGAGTTGTAAAGAGGGATACCTTTTACTTAAATTAATTAGCAACTAGAAGTTGCTATAAAGAAAATGGATGAGTTACTAAAAAAAACAAAAATGAAATTTCTCTGCTGCTGGAAGGAGAGGAGGAGAATGTAAGGAATGCTGCCGGTGGTGGGGTGTGTGTGTCGGTGTATTTATAGAGAGAGAGAGAGAGAGAGAGAGAGAGAGAGAAGGGCAAAGCACTGAAATGAAATCTGAAGATAAACAAAAACGCGTGAAGGGAACTTCAGTGTAATTTTACAGAAGCTTCACTTCACGTAAGTTTTTTCCTTATGAGTTTCATTTCATGTATATTCTACTATTAATTGGTTGCATGCACTTTCACTTTGGTCATTCAGCACACACAGCATATAATATACTCCGCCTGCACTGCACTGCACCTGCAGTTGCAGACACAATTTAATGATATGTAAATATAATCCAATTCGTAATTACAAATGGTGTATTTTCATATATATATATATATATATATGCAGACGCGGTTTTTATAGTCATGTTTTATGGCTATGAAGTATCTGACACGCCACCAATTAATGCTAATGTTACATTCCCCTTCCAACTTATTTCATAATCTCTTTTAATCTATTTGAAATTGGAAACTGGAAAGCATTCGTTTTCATGAAAAATGTTGACGACAACTATGCTTTGCTTTATATATTGATTAAGCTGTTGTTCCAATTTCAACACTAGTCGTCCGTACCGTATGAGAGAAGAAAGATGTGTACAGTGTACGTAAAAGAAGAAAGAAGCTACCTGGTAAAGTGTCAACTGGTAGCTAAGTCAAGAAACGTATTACTTTGCTTTTGCGTCTCCAAATTTTTCCCATTTTTGGTTTTCACACGTACATCCAATTTGTTATGCAATCCTTTCCGTTCACACGTATCAGGGTCAATTACATTTTGTATCTCTTTGGTTTAAGGCATGCAACAGTTGGTTCCTATCCTTTTTTTTTTTCTTTTTTCTTTTTTTGGTAATTACCATGAGGTGTCCGGGCTAGCTTGCGCGCACCTCGACTAATCCCCACTCGCGGAACTGAGCCTGCCACTGGCCACCAGGTGTTGCAACTGCTGGGATTCGAACTAGGGAGCAAACCCAGCTGAACCCCAGAGCCTTACCCAAATGGCGGACAAACCACTGGGCCACTCTTGGTGGTTGTTCCTATCCTTTTTTTCGATAGGTAGGGTTGGTTCCTTATCTTTTAAATGTTTGGCAAAAATAACCGTAAAAAGTTACTTCTTCAGGAGGTTAAGGTTAAATATCGTTTCGTATTCATCTCTCTATATTCGAGGGATAACTGTTTTTTTTATGTATTATATAATGCAAGCGGACGATCAGGAGTCCCATTCCATGCAGATGTCAAAGTGTTCGCCCAATGATAACGAATAGGTTGGTTCATAATTGGCCCATTACAAAAACATGTCAGCCCAACAGTAAGTCCATTAACAAGAATTCTATAATGAGGCCTTATATACGGCCATTAGGTGAAGCCTTATCTCTTAATCGTTAGATTAAATAATTAACAGATAAGACCTCATTTAAGAGCTATATATATCAGACCCTCACTGTAGAATGACTCAGTCCATTAACAAAACCGTCGACCTATTTACAAAATTATAGGCCCATTAACAAAATGAAACCAGCAGGCCTAAAAACGAAATTTGGAACGCTGAGTACGCCCTTCACTCCAAAAAATATAAATAAAGCCTTTCTTTAAAAGTTCGAAACGACACTTAACAGTAAGTCCATTAACAAGAATTCTATAATGAGGCCTTATATACGGCCATTAGGTGAAGCCTTATCTCTTAATCGTTAGATCAAATTGGTTAATCGTTATATTAAATAATTAACAGGTAAGACCTCATCTAAGAGCTATATATATCAGACCCTCACTGTAGAATGACTCGGTCCATTAACAAAACTGTCGAACTATTTACAAAATTATAGGCCCATTAACAAGATGAAACCAGCAGGCCTAAAAATGAAATTTGGAACGCTGAGTAGGCCCTTCACTCCAAAAAATATAAATAAAGCCTTTCTTTAAAAGTTCGAAACGACACTTGCCTGCTTCCAATAAAACTAACAATTTCCATTTACAGCACCACCACCACTGGCACTGTCCCTTGCCCAGAGCCTAACTTGTTATCATTAACTTAAACAGACATTTCACATAACAGTTTGTCATGTCATACAAAAGCCTCTCCATCTATAGGATCTCCCGAAATGAATTGCCATGATCATATATGTATAATAATCCACATGCTCCATACAAAAGTAATTCTTTTCTCTCTTTCTTTAAACCAAAATTCTACTCAAGACAGAGTAAAGTAGAACACAACACAATATTCTTGCAAAAAACAATCTCCCACTGAGCTGGACATTCCCCCTCCCCTCTTCCCAAGCTTTAAAAGTTAAAAAAATATTCAATAAACCCTTAAAGAGCCCACTACTTAAAGAGCTTCACTTTCTTCTCCTACTCTATAATCCTCAGCAGTTTAGTAAAACCCTTTCTCCACAAGTTTTCTTTCTCCTCTAACAAGAGTAGACATAGGCTCACAAATTTCTTAAACTATCCTCTATAAGTAAAAGAATTACTACAATTGTCAAAGTCTGACTGACTGATCTCCAGTGAATGTGATGTTTTCCTCATTACAAGTTATGTCCTCCTCATATGCCTATCCCAATCACAAAAGCATATCAAGAACCAGACTCTTATCGCTATATAAGACTCCTAAGTCTAAAGATTCAATTCCAGATTTACAATAATATCACCAATTCAAACCTATCATGAAAGAGCAAAGAATGTAAACGATCCTGTTCCCAAAATGGTATGCTCCATTTGCTGACCAACATGGAGAAGAAGCAAGGGAAAGGGGATGCCGGCCCCTAAAAGATCTTTTGTGCTTATACGACGGCTCAAAGGAAGTACATACCGGAGTATTTTTAATCGGTAATCCCATAAATGGAAAACTACATGTTCAGCTTGACCGAATATAGTGAAATCTCATATGTTTCTAAGTAAATGAACCCACTGAGACTGAGAGAGCTGCTGACTGCCAAGCTAACACTAATAGATCATGCAAAAAGAACCACCTCTTTAATCACAAATAAAATCAACTTGTTCAAATATTCGACTACTTTGTGTAGCATCACACAATGAGGAATTCAACAAGAGCATTTTATTATCAGTTGTATGATATTTTAACACTTAAAAATGACGGCCTTGACATCGAATCGAAAAACCACAAGTTTTAATCTCAGATAGCACATGAACAAATTCACCACAAAAGGAACAATCTGATTATTAAAAATCCAAAACCCTAAAATTGAGGACATTGATTTGATTTCATTTCTTGTAACGGGCTACCTCATTGTCGTTGGGGAAAAAGCCCATGAGGCGTCCCGCCGAGTTCTGGTAAGCGTACATGAACCCGCCCATTAGCCCAATCAGACCTCCGGTGACCATAGACGGCCCTCTAATCCCTGGCTTAATCCCTATAAATTACAAAAATTAAAGAACCATTAATCAAAATTACTGCGTTATTTGAAAAACAAGAAAATCGGGAAATGAGAGTGAGAGAGAGACCGGAGAGGTAGCCTACGGTGACGGAGACGCCGGTGATGGTGGCGAAGCGAAAGTAATCGAGGGTGCTGAAGTTGCCGACGACTGTGGTGAATGGAGGGTTCCGATCTATGACCGGGTACTCGGGCGTGGTCGAGGCAGTAATGTCTGTGTTCATCTTCTTTCCTCTTCAACTTCAGAAACGACGCCGTCCCCCCTCTGTCTGGTTCTGGTTTTGTTGAGCTCAGTTGGGTCTTCTCTTCTCTGTAGAATGAAGTCTGCAATGTAAAATGTACACCGGACACTGGACTCCAGAGAATTGAATATTGTTTGTGTGGCGTGGGTCTTTCTTCCACAGTGTCTTTGGGCTATCTAAAATACTTTTGTTCCTCGAAATGGGCCAACTTGGGTTAACCATGAGTCGGTTTTGGGTACTCCATCTACTCAATGTAGGCCCCATAACATTACCTCCTCTCTACAAGTAGTTGTGCGATAATTTTCAACGCTATGATTTTTTGGTCAAAATAAAAGTGATAGTCAATAACTTTTCCATGTTAAGTTGGACATAATAAAGCTACTTTTCTAACTTGTGGGAGATGCGATTTAGAGCAGTTAAATAAGGCAGTGAGCACACTCTCGTGCACTCAAATTTAATCCTCCTCCATGTGCATTAGAATAATACATAATAACAAAATTGTCACTTAAATATATATAAACTTGTGTATATGAATAAGTATGACAATTATTAATGTTAATACATATATCATTTAGAAAACTAAAAGTTTTTACAGCTAATGTAAAGGTCTTTACAGAAAAAGCACTATCTATGTAAATTAGGGCATTGTAAAGTTATAGGACAAATAAGGAAAATAAAAATAATTGTTATTTTTGGGGGTTGTTAAATTGGCTTATTATTAGACGCGGAAATAAACAAGAAATGCCTTCCAATTCCACGGTTGAAGTTCCACCGTCCACGCGAGTCGCGACCAGTAGAGGAAAGGTGAAGGCAATATCTAATATCTGTATTGTCTTTGTCTTTTGAAACGCGGGTGGAGACATGGACATTGGAGCCGGTGGGCGGCAGCAGGGCAGATGTCATTCAATACAATTAATTAATATATATGAACAAACCAAGAACCAACCTTCAAGGAGGGATATTTTGAATGTCATTATTATTATTATTTAATTTCCACATGTCACTGTCATATTTTCTTAATTGGTATCCGTATTATAAATGGCAATCTGATCTGATGTCATCCCACCATCACCCAGCACCCAGCACCCAGCACCCAGCACCGGGCGGAGGAGAAGCTTTCGGCCTTTATTCTTTGCACAAAGCAAAGATAACTCCACCCACTTGCATACAAAATGTAGTAAAGATTTGCTTCAGACCATTCCATTCCTACGTTTATTTGTTTTCTTTTTTGGTTGCTCTTTACATGGACCCCACTCATCTGTGGAAGCTTCCTTTATGCGTCATGACCACTTGAGACCAGATGAGGACAAAATCTTAATTGATTAGAGATAATAACTTGCTGTTGAATGTAGATAATGATGATAATTAACTTCCCAATAATTTCTTAATAAATTATTAATCAAGGAAATGAAGCGTGTAGTTGAATTGAACTGGTCGTCGTCATTACCTAATGGCTAATACAATTGGATGATGTAGATGATGACCTCTGTGGGCCCTATTCATGTGACGTACGTACGTGGATTGAATTTAATTAGTATGGTTGGTTGGTGGTTTGTAAATGTGACACACAACTTATATTATTATTATTATCTGAGTGTTTACTTTCTTTTTTCGGTCGTCTCCTCTCATCTTATATTATTGAATGATCCGGGATTTAGATCAAAGTGTTTTGTTCTGTGTAACACATCACACATGGATGGAGGAGGAGCTTTTTTGAATTCAATTTCGAAGCCTCCAAAAAATTATCTTAGGATAAGGATGAGAAAAGCCCTTGAATATTTATTTAGCGAGCATGAAAATTAACCTTGACTGCCCACTCTTACTTTGATGTAATGGTGCTGATGCATTGAAGATAAGAAAGTGGGCCGTGCATACTAAACTGCTCTTTTTCTTTCTTTAAAGCAGAGGAAAAGGAAAGGAAAACAAAGCACCAGCCACCAAGATTCTCCTTTCTATTTATCCTCCTTTATCAACATCATTATCAGATCTCAGTTCCCAACAAAAAATACCCTGGTTAACACAAGGAAAATAATAAAGCTAAATTAGCTCCACATCGTCCGTCCTTTTTATGCTTAAACTCCCCCCAAAGTTAACTGTGCATCACATCATCATCTCATCGCCAAGAAGATCAAATGTGCGTGATATTACAATACAATATAATTATATGCTACCATCAATTGTGCGTGACATACTTAATTACATAATAAAAAAATAAAAAAGTAAAAATGAGCATATTGCAACACATATATCTAATACTAGTAGGTTTTAGTGGTCCAATTAAATGTTGAAACGTAATTCGTTTTTTTATAATTCTCAGCAACTAAAATCGAGGATGAGGAGTATATATATATATCTTAACTTAAGGTCGTAGGTGTTACACACATGTACATCATTACAATTGACTCCTAGGGTAAAGAAAGAATGGCCATGGCGATTGGCAATGACAATACATCCTATTCTACGACTCAAAATCAAAATTTATAATCTTCACGTGCCATGTAATGATTGGTTCCCCTTCCCCCTTTCCTTATTAAATTACCACCATTCATTCATACCCCAAAAATTAAAAATTAAAAAAATTAAAAAAATATCACCCTCAGTATTGACATGTTGCTATCTGTTATTCAAGTTAATTATTATGATGTTGTTGTATTGTATGTATGTTCTCTCTTTTTTTTCTTTGTTCACAATAATGAACGGTTGCTGGAGATAGTGCTCTTTACCTTTGGAGTTTGAAATCCCATGTGTCATATTAATTTCTTTGAAAATGACATGTCATCTTGTTGTCTATCAAAAGAGAATAATATTTCCTGTTATACCCTCTATTTATAGGGGGTAAGCTGCAATGCAATCACTGGTTAAGAATTTTGATAAATTATCATCTTGTTGTCTATCAAAAGAGAATAATATTTCCTGTTATACCCTCTATTTATAGGGGGTAAGCTGCAATGCAATCACTGTTATACCCTCTATCTATATTCTCTCATATAGATGTCCGCACGTTATCATTGTAAATAAAGAGGAAAGCATAAATGGGTAGTAAAAAATACATGACATCCACAGGATAATAATGCATATATATATATATATATCGTCCTTATTGTATTTCACGAAGAAATGCAGCTTTTGTTTTTTTGAATATTATATTTTGCTATGCGAAGTCCATGTAATGTAAGTAGGGCATAAGGTATATATAGTCGTATATTTCCACATCCTACTGGTTTTACCAATTGAATCAATAAAAGGCATTATCTTGCTGCTGAATACTTGTTTCTGTCATTTTCAGATTTATTTTAAAATATGACTTGGGCATTTGCCTGATTGGGTAGTTTCAACTATCTTGATTATTTTTGTGCTTCAAATCAATTAAATTTCAATTCTTATGCAAGAGTCAAAGACTTGCATTTCAGATAATCCAAATCCAATTGTGTGTGCACTTGCATTGCAGTACCCCTTTGTCTAGATAATACGTATACGTACATCAAATCGTGATTTTGGAGGGTTCATGTTAGCTCCATGCTCCGTAGACCATCAGATCTTTTCGTTAGAGTGGACCTCAACTCAAGACGTTAATTTCCACGTCATTATATATTTTAATCATTTTAATTTAGGGTTAAAAAAACGTTTGTTCAACACAGAATAAAATATGATGAATAAAGGTGCAGGGGAAGTTCGGAGAATGTGCGGTGCCTGGCAGCCTTCCAGGCAAAAGCTCTCCGTGAAAGAAGGCCCTTCTTTCCCCGTCATATTACGGGAATGCCATTTGACTCTTGTAACCGTGTAATGTTAAACGAATCAATTGAATCAGGACCGAAAACGCCCATGGTTTTGTCTAAATTAACGGTTAACAGTAAACGCACACAGACAAGACAACTAACTTTGTTTCACAGAAATTCAGGGAGTTTTGCACGCCACGTATCTGTTCTAGCTCGCATTGGTGTTGGCCTATTTGTCTAATTTTTCTTAGCTTTCGTAATCTTTAGGGAATATTTGAGAGATTTGTGCAATCAAAGCTTTAACATAATTATATAGCAAATTAACAATTAACACCTATAAATACGAGTATTCACAATTATGCTTCTGATTTTTTAATTAAAATTTAGTTAAAAACACTAGAAAGCTATTTTATGAGCTCCTTATAAAATTTCAACTCCAATCATACTCCATAGTTTAGAAAATCATAAATAATTTATTTCTTTTTTTAGTTTAGCATAAAAGCTCCCTCTTCATATAAAATATAAAATAAAAAAATAATTAGCATTAAATGAATACTTAAAATATCATTATAATTAAACAACATTTAATTATAGAGAGTCACTATAAGTCCTTTATCTTTCATTAGATATAAGAGCTCTTAGAGATCTCCCTATTTTAGGAGTTGGATAAAGAGCATGGTTGGAGGTGGGTTTTCTCACTTTCTCCTTAAATTTTATATAAGGAAGTGGTTTAGGGAGTCTATTATGGATGCTTTAATGAATGACAAATTTATACATATAAAGTATTTAACTAAAGTTTATTGATAACAACATGCACGGCTCTGTTTTCATGATATGTCAAGTTGAGTGTTGGTAGTCATGTAGTATAAACTTTAAGCAGGTATAGGTTTAGTCAAGTTGGCTATAGTGGATGTGCTCTCCACTCTGCACCCTAGTTCAAATTTTCATCCTCGTAGTTTAGATAAATTTAGAGTAGAATATCGCTTGTATAAAAAAAATGCAAAAGCTTTAATCAACGATTGAAACACAGAGAAAAAAACACATGTTATATGGTTTAATTGTGTTTTTGAAGAATGGTTTAGCCCGCATGTTGTCCTTTTCATGTAAAATTTGTCTCCAACTACAATGATTCTTTAGAACAAGACTTAGACGAGCATGAGAACGTCAAGCATGCCTTGGTTGAACTCTAACGTAACTAAAGTTTGATTAAGTTAAATTATTTCTTAACCTTGGCTAAACTTATTCATTGTTGTGACATAATGAATAACATGACATTTATTAGGAGGAAGTGGGGAAGTAGCTGACATTGCACTTATTATTTACTTTATGCATATTATTTGAAGATGAGCAAATTATGAGGCAACAAATATATATTAACCAATATTTGAGTTTTGTTTTTTTCTAATATATATATATATATATATATATATATATATTTATTTATTTATT